TTATACATTATTAGTGTAATTGATATTATATTTCTTTCTTTTAAGTGTTTGACTAGATTTTCTAAATTTAGTACAATAAATGATTTTTTAAATAGTATATGACTATTGTTTGAAATTTTTGTAATTAGTAATTTTTTATTAATGTTTAATCATAGATTGTGAAAAAATTTCATTAAATTTCAAAATTTAAAATATATAGTCAAACACTTTTTTGAATATGTGATATTAAAATCTTGAAAGGTAAATAATAAGTCATTCGCTAAAGTAATATTGTAATTTAAAAAATCAATAATAAAAGAAAATGAAATTTAAGTGTTATAGATTATTAGTGTAATTGATAACTTTTATAAGTGTTTGACTAGATTCTCTAAATTTATTATAATAAATGATTTTTTAACTAGTATTTGACCATAATTTGAAATTTATGTAATTAATATTTTTAATTGATGTTTGACCATAGATTGTAAAAAAATTCATTAATTTAAACATTTTAAATATATAGATAAACAATTTTTTTAATATGTGATATTAAAATCTTGAAATTTAGGCAGTGAGTCATTAACTAAAGTAATATCGTAACTTTAAAACCCAATAAAAAAAGAATGAATTTTAAGTGTTATATATTATTAATGTAATTGATATTTCTTACTTAAGTGTTTGACTAGATTATCTAAATTTAGTATAATAATTTTAACTAATATTTGACCATAGTTTGAAATTTGTGTAATTAATATTTTTCAATTAATGTTTGACCATAAATCGTGAAAAAAATTTCATTACTTTAAAAACTTAATTTTTTAAATTTAAAATTATTAACCACATAAATTCAAAATATGATCAAATACTAGTTTAAAAATTATTTTTTATACTAAATTTAGAGAATCTAGTCAAACACTTAATAAGAAATATCAATTGCACTAGTAATGTGGAACATATAAAAATTCATTTTCCTTTTATTATTGATTTTTAAAATTACAATATTATTTTAGTTAATGACTCACCACCTAGATAAGATTTTAATATCACATATTAAAAAAGATTGTTTGATCACATATTTTAGATTTTGAAATTTAACAAATTAAAATTTTGAAGTAATGAAACTTTTTCACAATGTATAGTCAAATATTAATAAAAAAAATGTTAATTCCACAAATTTTTCACACATATTGTCTTGTGGTCCAGCACGTGTTGATATTTTTTTTTAAATTAGTGTCACGTAGACCAAAAAAGAGAAAAATTATAGGGATGGGCGTACGGTTCTTCGATTCGGTTTTATTAAATTTTGATTCGGTTCTTCAGTCCGGTTTTAGAAAAGTGTGCACCATATTTATACCAAACTAATATCGATTTTGTTCAATTTTTTCTACTTTGATTCGATTTAAATCGATTTTTGGGTGTAAATAAAAATAAAGTGGAAATAAAATAAAGTGTTAAGAGTTTTATGTGCTTAATAAAATAAAGAGAAAATAAATATGCGATGATATTTTTGGTTTCTCTCATACCTGAATGAATAAAGAAGAAAGCAAATATAAGGACTGATGTACATAAACAAAAGAGGAACTAAATTGTCATTATAATGTTTTATCAGTAAAACATTTTTTTTATCATAGTGGCTAACTTAAAGTAAAACTTTTAAATGGGTCATGTAAATAGTTTGAGTAAAAAATATATAAGTATTACTAACTAAGCAATATAATTAAAAATTTTAAAATTTATTTAATAAAACTTCGGTTCTTCGGTGCACCGTAGTTTCGGGACCCTGCATTGAACTCCGAACCGAAGAATCGAAGTTCCGAAAATAAAAAACTGATATTAAATCGAAGAACCGACACCGAAAAACCGAAATAATTTGGTTCGGTTTGATTTTTTTTGATTTTCGGTATTTATGTCCACCCCTAGAAAATTATTTATAAATTAAGTTCAAGGGAGTAATAGGACCTTAATATAGTATAAGTGTGTCTCTGAGATTTCAGACATAGGTAAAGGGATTTTTCCTTAAAAGTAAGTATTATTTAACCATAATTTGGACTTCTCCTTAATATATTTACCAAAACTTTCATTATATATCAAATATCATCATCATAATTTATATTTGAGTAACTTTCACATATAGCAAACATAAAAATTATATTTGTATGTTATAACTATATTTTGCATAATTGCGCTTCGTATCAAACCTAAATACGTATATTTCGTTATACATATATAAAATAGTTATATAATTCGTTATACAAATACAAAGAAACAAGCTGTATAATTCGCTATACATATATAAAAGAAAGCAATTGTATACAAATGATCAATTGTATAATTTGTGTATGTATAAAACGAGAAAGAGAGAAAGACAAAAGAAAATTTGGCAGGAAAATATTTGTATTGTATAATTATAAGTGTATAGGACGAAGATATATGTATTTGCATGTGTATATACAAATTTCTTGCGCTTTATACAAACAAAAATGCAATTTATACATTTCTTTTCTGTTTGTATAAGTGAGAGAGGCGAGGGTGGCGAGCGAGATCTGGAGAGGAAAGAGAAAGGAACAAAAATATATGTATATATATATATATAAGTTTCTCTCACTTTATACAAACACAAACACATTTTTATATATTTGTGTTTGTTTAAAAGCGAGAAGACACGAGCGAGAGAGGGAGAGTGGCGAGCAAGAGATTGAGGGAGAGAGGCGACTGACAAACAGTTTGCTACATGGCACAATTAGATCAAAGTATGGTTATAACATTTAATTTGAATTATTAGTTTGTCATTATATACAATTTTCTCTTCATATCATAGTATATCATATTAAAAGTGGAAAGCCTCCAAGCCTAAAGTTGAATTATGAACATGCTGATACGAATTGTTATTCTTTATACTAAAAGCGGGAGCCTCCAAGTCTAAGTTAAATTACGATAATGTCCATACAAATTTTTATTAAAAAGTTCTACACCAATCTTATATTATCATCAAATCATATTAAAAGTGGGAAGCGTCCAAGTCTAAAGTTGAATTATAAAAATGCTCCTACAAATTTTTATTCATTATTTACACACACGAGCGCGCACACACCCGCACACCACACAGACA